AAGCTGTCAGGAGTGGGAGCATGAAAAGGTCATGACGGATGGCGATGGATAAGTGGGTAGGGGAGGAGAGCTGGTAAAGAAGACAAATGGCCTCCCGGGCTTCCAAGGAAAGCACCAACCCTGGCCACTTGCAGCCAGCCCCTTGCTCTTCTTCCTCACCTGCCAGGGCTGTCACAGGAAATCCTGCTGGGCATCACTTCTGACAGTGGCACCAGGTTGGGTGTAAGGAGCTCACAGGAGTCCTTGCCAGCCACCTGGCCTCTTGATGCCAAAAACTGCTGGACAAGAGTGTTGGTCAGTCCAGGGTCCCTTTTTGCGAATTCAGATGCTCATTGCTCATCCTCTGCACATTTTAAAAATGGGGAAGCTAAAAACAGGTGAGCTTTTTAAATGATGATTGCTGGGCTGGGAAAGTGATGCAGTGGTACAATGCCTGCCTGGCATGCACATGACCTGGGTTTGATTCCCCAGCCCAGGGGCAAAAGATAAATGGTTTTTTTGAGATAGGTCCTCACAGTGTAATCCAGGCTGGCATTGAACTCATAGTTCTCCTGCCTCAACCTCACAAGTCTAGGACTCAGCACGTGATGGCTGGATTAACTGTTCCCCTCGTTGGCCATTTAATATGGAGAAATACAAACTTGAATCAGCTTCCCTTATTTCCTTAGAAAGACATTGATAATTTGAGTTACTTAAAATAATGCATAAATGAGGTTTTAAGGAGTGTCTTTGTCTCCGCTTTACATGTAAAACATTAGCCTAGGAAACCCATGCACAGTGGTCAAAAGGAAGAATACTGACTGGATTTCATGCCATTTCCCACATACGAACAGAAATAGATGTGTGCATTTATTTGCTGGCACACTTGAACTCATCCCTTGTGGATTTTTTGAGACAAGGTCTTCCTACGCAGTTCAAGCTGGCCATGTACTACTTTGTAGCTTAGGCTGATCTAGAACTCTCAGTGATCCTCCTTCCTCAGCCTCCTGTGTGTGCCACTGCGCCTGGCCCCTTGGTGAAAATTGAGAGAAAAATGTAAGGACCACTTGGGCAGTGGCTCTTATAAGTAGAGAAGGCCGTGTGGTTGTCGGGCAAAGAACCAGGACCTAGGAACCCAACAGCCCTGGATCTGAAAAATGGTTTCCCCTTCACAGTCCTAACCTAAGACAAACACCCTGCCCTCTCGTAGCATGTGTTACGCACAGCAGCCTCCAGGACAGGGCACGAGCTGAGAGGGCAGGTTCTGGAGCCAGACTCCCTGGTGTCAGAGTCCAGCTCTGGGGTGAGTTACTTCACTCCCAGTCTGTTTCCTCATCTGTAACACAGCGGTGAACACAGTGATCAGCTTTATAGAGCTGAAAGGAAATGTGAATCAGGGCTCTCGGGCCTTTTATCCGTGGTGGCCCACAGGTGGTGTCAGGTAATGTTGGTCCTGTCAGCATGCCACAGGCCCTTAACGCATGGGGATGCAGCTAGCGTCCTACCTGCCCCACAAATTGTGCAGAGCCTGCTCAAGGAAGTCCACCAGGGAGCCTTCCAGGATGCTTTGCTCTGGGCCTGGGCCTTGGCCTTGGCCTTGAGGAAAACAAACCATAAGAACCATGCCTTCAGCTGTCACAGAAGGCTGTGCTGCTTTGGGCTCCTAGCTGGCCCCCAGCCCCTAACTCACCTCCACCCTTAGCAGCCCAGAGGCGGCAGTGACAGGTCAGTCACACACACACACTGCTTGACCTTCCCACCAGCCTGGCTTCCATGGCCTCCTCCCACATGCGCAGAGGCCCCAGCCCTCGCCTGGACTCTGGTGCCAGCCTCCTAACCTTTCTTCCAACCAAAAGAAAGCCAAACTTTCTGGCCAGGATTTGCCTCCAGGGTGGATTCTAGGACCTGATTTCTGTGCATCTCAGCAGGGTGGGCTTGTGGGAACCACTCCAGGATGGTGCTCCTTGTCCAGCAGACACAAATAGTGCCCTATGGGGCCGTGTTCAGCTCTCCGAAGCAGAGACTCATTCTAGAAGAAAGTGAAATTATTTAATGTACAAAGAATTCTTCCCATCAGGAAAGATTGCCCTACAGGTTCCTTTAAATAGTGACTCCCGAAGGCAGTTGAGAGTTTTACAGATCATTAACTACTTGACTGAAAGCTTGCAGAGCAGAGAAACTCAAAACTGAAGTGTTGGGAGCCTCTGCCATTTACAGATCAATCCAAAATGAAGATAAAATATTATTGAAACTAGAAGTCAGTAGAAAAATGTGATTTAATTAAAAAAAAATTCTGATTTACACATGTCTTTTGTAAAACATACCTATTGCTTAACAGTGTTCCACCTACCTGCCCATCTTGAACTTCCTGTGTCCCCAAGCCACAGTCTTGGGGTTTCCCTTGGTGAGCAGCAGTTGCAGTCACCCCAGAAAAGGGCGTCATTGGGAAAGTGTTCTCGCGGCCGTGCTGATGCTGAGATACAGCCTGTAATGGATGAACTGTACAGTAACAATTTGCAGATAAAAATAATAGAAGTTAAAGTGTGCTTTACATGATAAAAGAAAGATGAAAGAGGACGAGAGTCTGTTACATCTGAGATGGTTACAAAAGTCCTGCTTTGTGAAGTGGGCTCTGCTGAAAAGATTGATGCCATAGGGAGTGACCTTGGCTGGGCGCAGGAGCTGGTGATGTATGTATGAGCAACCCTCTGCTAAATGGACCCAGATTTGTAGCACTAATATACATGGGAGCCCAGAACCAAACTCAGTACGGCAATAAATCAACAGCCACTTTGGGTGTCATTTCTGGTTTATATTCCACTATTGTTCTATCACTTTAATTCATGTCACTATCATCTTTTCATCTGGAACAGTTTTATATAATTTTCCAGTGGAGTTACCTGACAAATCCTATCAAATTAACAAGGTACATTAACAATATTGACTGGCTGTGGCTTCAGGAGTTGCAGGGCCATAGAACAAAATTTTAATCAATCTCTCTCTCTCTCTCTCTCTCTCTCTCTGTCTTTCTCTCTCTTTCTCGATAGTTTTTTCCTCTCTTTCTGAGAAAGGAATGTGGGGCAGGGTTTATTTCCACATAAGAGATGTGCACATTTATTTTGTTCTGCTCATTTTGACTTTTATAAATGTCAAAATAAGCCGCAGAATACAGAGGGGGAAGTGCATGCACATGCATTACCAACCATCATGGCTCGTGTACCCTTTTCCTTTCAGAGAACTGTGGAAGTTTGCAGATCTTTAACAATTAATGACCAAATTGGATGTGGACTTGCAACTGGGTAGTTGTAATCTGCTTTAAGTGAAATGTAATGAAAGTGGTCTCCTGATACATTCTCACCCTCCTGAAATCATCTAGACCTGAGAGTCCAGAGTCAGTTGGACTTATGACACTATGCCTAATTGAAATATGATGTTCCTGAAATACGCCCGATGACACATCCCAGCATTCAATTAGAAAACATACAACCAATTAAAGGCAAAAAAAAAAAAAAACACTAAAAAATTGTAAAAACCACAATTGTTCATCTTCCCCAAAGACCACATGCGGTGACCAGGGTTTAAGGCCCTCACTGCACAGTCCACCCTAAGGACAGCCTTTTCTCGCATCCCTTTGTACACAGTCTTCTTTCTGCCTTTGTCTACCTTGGATTTGGAATTAATCTACCCATAAAATAAAACGGAAATGCATGGAATGTGTAGTAGACTAAACCGCTATGCTTGAGTTTATAGTTTTCATTTAAATTCACTGTCACACCAGGGTTATTTTGCGGGGGAGGTATTAATTGAACTGTTTGTTTTATCTGCTTCTTTAGACTCACTAAGTTTTTTTCACATTTGTTCAGAAATTTCTAAGTAGATTCATAGGATGGAATATGTTAACCCTGATTAGCTTTTCTGTTACAATATTTATATTTTATTTTAATCATATCATGTATCTTATCTGCACTTTGCCCTTTTTTTCTTTTTTTCTTTTTTTTTTTTTTTCCTGTAACCCTAACCTTTAAACTATGGCCTAAAAATTAATTACTTTTAAGGTTCCATATGGAGCTCACTTCAAAAGGCATATTAAAGGTTTTTGTCTCGCATCCTGAACAGATTCCTCAGTTTTCAGCAGAAGAGGGAAATGGCACATCCGGGCTGGACGGCATGGCCAGTGAACAGGTGCTTCTCTGAAACACCCAGAGAACAGTCACTATATGTGTCCACACCCACCCCGGGTCCCTCCCATGCCACTGCCTCCGCTCTCCGAACACCTTACTCCCAATCACACTGGAACATGCCATGTCTTTCATGGCCCTGCAAATAAAACCTGAAGTCCCGTATGTAACATTTCTGCATTGAGGTCTTTGTTGTATAAAGCTCACACCCAGACCTAAGTCCCTCCCTTAGCAGAAAAGCAGTGACTTCCACAGCCCAAAGCAGGCTCCAAGACTTGAACTTGAAAGGTTTTGTGTAACAGACCCTTTGATCTTCCTGGGACTTCCCTTAAATATAGCTGAATAATTATTTAATGTCATGGAAGGGAAGAGAGAGCTTTCTTCCCTATTTTTAGTATGTGCAGTTCACCCAGAAATTTCTCACTGGTAGTATTGCCATTTAGGCACAAATGATGCTAATCTTCCATCCCAGATCTTAAGGAAAAAAATAACTGATCAAAACCATTTTTAAATGGCTACATTATAGTTTGTCTCATTACAGTGCACAGTCATGCAGTTACCAACATGTGTGTAAATTGTCTGTTGCATCTATGTTATATCCAAGAATCACATTTCTCACTTTCTTTTCATACAGTTTTGGGTTGTCATCTCCTGCAGCTTAGCCACTCGGTCTGGCAGCTTTCATTTAGATTCTGTCTGTCCTAAAAGTCCCTGGCATTCCTCAGCCCTAAGAGTGAGCACATGTTCATCTAACTTAGTGTATTATAAAGCAGGCCAAATGAGCATATCAAAATCCCTTAAGCTTTCACTTCTTGTGTTTTTGTCCTCTCCTTGGCCTTACAGGTATCTCTGGAGACAAAGTCGAGATAGACCCCGTTACAAATCAGAAAGCTAGCACCAAGTTTTGGATTAAGCAGAAACCCATCTCAATCGATTCTGACCTGCTCTGTGCCTGTGACCTTGCAGAAGAAAAAAGCCCCAGTGAGTAGTGCCTTTTATTTATGTCTCCCTTCTCTCTTTCCCCTCTTCCCCTCTGCGTGCTGGGTGCCAGGAGAATATATTGCCACCGTGTCCTTTTTTCCTTGGGTCTGTTTAATTCATTACCAGAAATTTCTTTTAATCAAACGGGATTGTATTATGGTGCCCAGAGCCTGACATGAGCCCCACTGCGCTCTGTCTTGATGGCAGTGCAGAGCCTCACTGGCCTTGCCTGGGGCCTGGGGCCCTGGGGCAGGTTCCTTTCACTTTGTGTTCCTGTCCCCTTCCCATTTGGGGACCTCACCCATCAGAGGTGGAACTACTGTCCTTCCACAGCAGATCAGGGGAGCTGGGGAATTTCTCGTAGCAGCCTACGACTAAATTTTGGGCATCCATCACGCCGGAAGCATTAACACCCCCCAGATTATTAGCAGCTGTGCAACCTACCAGCTCGTAATTAAACTCCTGCCTGGTCCCACAGAAGAGATCGCTGCTGGGTTGGCATTCCTCCACTTAAATTACCAAAGTAGACACCGTTTAGTTGTATATTTTGGCATATTATATTTTTGCAGTTAAGTAATTGAGTACAGTGTCTATATTATTCAATTAATTACTTTTAGGACTATAGTCCTAGCAAGGGACAGGAAGGACACACAGATCACACTGAAATTTGTCCATGGATAAAAAATTTCAAAGCTGTATAAGGATGCATTAGTTACCTAGAGAAGAGAATAGTGTAAAACACTGACTCTCAAACTCCAGCTCTTGTTAGCATTACCTGTGGAATCTTCATAATTCAGTCACCCAGAGCCCAGCATAGTAGATGCTGACTTGGTGATACAGGGCATCAACCAAGCATCCAATGTTTGTTAATCCTGTGTGTTCCAGTGTCCACACAGTTTGAGAGCGAGTGTTAGAAGGAATGACATAGACAGAAGGGACAGTCAGAGTGTAAGGGCCAGCAGGTGTCTATAATGTGGTTTTGAGGTAACACTGACTGAAAGTAGGCCTGAGGAGCTGGGGCACACAGGCTGGCCACAGGCTGCAGGCTCTCTTGGGTGGTTGTTTAGTTTCTTTGTCAGCATATTCAGAGCTACATATTCTCCTTTCAACTCAGCCTCCAGCTTGGTGAGAAGGGAGAGCATAGGGGGCACAGGGAAGCAGTGAGGCCACCCCAGCCCTTCCCATGGTCCCATGGTCCCCACAAGGCTCCAGCTCTGCCAATGGCTCAGCGGAGGCCAGGAGAAAACCACTGCTGCTCGGGGCCCATACAGGCTGCGGCTGCCTCTGCCTTGGGACTTGTCCTCCATCTAAGATGGCTTTGTTTTTTGTCTTCCTTAAGAATTGAGGATGCCTTGGGAAGCAGCATTTTGTAACTTCTCCCTGACTCTGAGGAGTGAAAGGTGACTGCATGCATGTTGTACAGAGGGCAGCTGGGTGGAAAGGTTTGGGAGGAATAGAGGCAGGATTTGGGTTTCCCTGTATCCGCCCAGGTGCCCATTGTGCTGTGCAGGCTGCAAGTCGGGCACTGGGGTATGGGCATAATGTGCCCCGCCACCCACCGCTGGCCTCCTCGTGGTATCCAGAGTAATTATTACACATCTGTGCGCAGGAGGCCACATCTGAAATGTGAGAGCACGGAGCCAACGTGGGCCCTGCTGTGTCAGCACTGACAACCGCTTAGGAGTCTGTTGTCTTACCTTCAGGAATGCCAGGCGGTTCAGTGTAAAAGCTGTGCACGTGGGTCTCACAGAGGTTCTCCTCTCTGTCCCTCTGGCTTCAGATATGTAGAAACTGTGACACTTCCTAAACAAAGAGACTTACCGTGCCATGACACTTCCCAAGCCCCTGGTCTCTAGCAGTGCTTTGCCCATGCTTGGGCCTAAGGGTTGGAGGGACTTGAGGGCCGTGTGTGCGTGCATATGCGTGCACATAAGGCCTCCTCTTCACAGGAACTCTACTTTTTCCTATTTTGAGATTCTGTATTTAGGTTCACAAGTAAACAGATTTTGCTGCTGCTTAAAAAAAAAAGAAAAGAAAAGATTTTTAAGGTTTACAGACTTAGAGAATAAAAATCAGGCTCCAGTGTGGGCCAGTCACTGCGAACTGCTTGCATGTTGCATTCTGCTGTTGTTGCCTGAAACACACCTTCCACCCAGCCCACCCCATGGCTTCCGGTGATTGCTGCCCTCAGCCGCCAACTTCTCAGGAGCCAGCTCCAGGACCAGGCCCTCTCAGTTTGCTTTGCCCCAGGAGTTTCCAGAGTCTGTGCACCCTGTATGTCATGTGCTCATGCCCTGCCCTTTCTCCCCAACCCTGTCTCCCTCCTGAACTGACCACCCCAGCACCCCGTTCACTCTTTTTCCCTCAGTCCCTAGGCTGTGCTCTGGGGGTGGCCTCAGTGAGTGCTTGTTCACTGGAAACTGAGCTTAATGAGCCCAGAATCTAGAGGCCACTAGTTACTCAACATAATTTATGTTGTAAAGTGCCCAAACAAAGACATATGAAATGAATCAGATAGATGCTATGTGTTTTTATGATTTCCAGTATCTTCGCCAAATTAATTCAGTGACTTAATCTAAAAAGTTCATCCTGAGACCATCATCAGACCACAGCATTAATCTGTGGGGCTGCTGCTTTTTCTTTCTTTCTTTTTGTTTAAAGGATTAATGGTAACCCTTTTTATCTTTTGTGTCTGTTGGACCTTAGAAAAAAGTTATTTTAACAGCACTAAAGAAATGAAAGTCTCTATATTTCATAAGTTTAGCTTGTGATTTTTATCAGCATAGTGATGTATGTTTGTAGCCGAGTTTACATCAAAAATTATTCTTGGGGCCTTCTTGAATGAATTATGGCAAAGAGTGAGTCTAGAAGTAGATAAGGTTTTTGATTTCTGCAATATATTTCCTTTTTCATGTTTTTATCTCTCATAACACAAGTGTCTTGCTGAAGACTGGGACGTGTGACCAACTGGAATAATTTAGTTGTGAAAACAGAGCAGACGTATTATTAAACAGCCTTCTTTACAAAAAGGCATTAAGTGCTGGGAGGATAATGAAGTCATCCCCAGTCTTTCATGAGACGTGTTTGTCAGAATTTTGAACAGAAAAGAAATGGTTTTGAAACCCTTTGAATGTGGCCAGTTCGCAGTGTTTATTGAGAAAGCTGCTGTCAAACCATTAACATGGTCGTCATAAGGAACACAACTCAGGTTTAATTGATGCCGTAGCCCAGAAGTATGCGGATCGCTGCCTTGGCAGCGGCTCGCGCGTTACCGCACCTGCAGTGGAACACGTAATTGCCTACATTGTGGGCTCCGAAAGGCCCAGACTTCATGAACATCCGTGGCTCCTTTCCCTCCTGCCAGGTTCTCAAGGAAGATTGATTCTGCTGTCCCATGAGTGTTTCAAGACCTGCAACTTTATGCCTAACTAAATACATGCCTTTTAAAAAAAAAAAATTGTATCGATAAATATGAATTCTTAAAAGAGCTCAGAAAATCTGTGTATTGTAATACCTGAGAGATTAAGAATAATTTATTTCTTGAAAGAAAAAAGTACATTGCCGATATTGTTCAAATCAGTGATTTGTCAGTCTATTTGCCACTCCTTTGGCTATCTTTGGCTATTTTGAAGGCTGTCACAGACCTCTTAAAAGAAGAATTAATTTTAATTCCTTTTAACTGACTTAACATGGACAGCATGTATGCCATGGTTACATTGTGTTAGAGAAATCATTTTTCGTTCTTACACAGGTATAGACCCAGCCTTTGGATGCGTCGGCTATCTTTTTAAAGTCCAGACTCAAATTCCAGGCCTGAAACAAAAGCCAGGGACCTTTCTGTGAGACTTGTACTCATCAGAGACTTGGGCAGTGTAAGTGCCAGACTTACTAGAGCGAAGTCTGGTCTCATCAGGGGAAAGTTGTGCAGGTTCAGAGTCTTTAAAGGAAGTCAGCCTATCATTAAGAAATCAGATTTAAACCTTAATAAAGTAGCTGTCATCTTTAGAGCTCAAAAGAGCTCTGTATCTCAATTAAGTATAGATGATATAAAATCTTAAGGAAGCAACGTAATAGAGGTAACCTGATTACATTCTCTTGCAATAGTATAATTTAAAGGAAATCTGATTCTGTTCATGCTGGTTATATTGGGGGATTTGTTTTGTTTTGTTTTGTTTTGTTGTTGTCCAAAACACTTTGGACAGAAGATAGGAACTTTTTGAGGTTATAAGTTAACCACTACACCCTGCAGACTGTGAAGCCCTAGTGAAAAGAACCTATTGGCTATTTGAGATGAGATTCAGTTAAGACTATGAGTTAAATCAGGTGGGCTTATTGGTGACCTCCTGCTTAAATGAATCTTTCTTTTCATAAGAACTTGACAAGATCTGTAAAGTAGTGTATTTAATTTACTAATTAAATTAAAGCTGCTGAATAATGATTTGTCCATATGATTTAGCTTAAATAGGAAAGATCAGCATTGTTGTGATCTTCAGCCACCTTAATGGCCAAGCCAGTTAGACACAAAGGCCTCTTGTGTTTTGTGGGTCACGAGTGCATAGGTAAGCCTGGGCTGTAATTGAATTGCCTGCGCCGCACCTTGCAGTCACAGATTTCCTCTGCCTTCCTGTTCCATTGTTGCACTGGGGCTTAAGAGAATGTTAACGTGGTAATAGGCACAGGGCCTTCCCCATTATACGTCTTGCTATCGAGCGGTTCTGCATGACTAGTTAAAGAAGATGGCAAGAAGATTAATGAAAGCCAGGCTAATACAGAAGGGGGTACTTTTGCAAGACTTCTACCGAGGAGATATTAGAGCTGAACCAGAGCTTGGCTTTTTCTTTATCCTGTGACCTTTGAACCTGCCGTACTGTTGAGAGCTGCCAGGGAAGTCGACGTTTTGATTGATGTTGGTACACGAGTCAGTCTTTCCCATTGAATTCCACATCTGCACGAAAATAGCTTTTCCAGCAGAATTCATACTGGCTAGAAATGATAGCCAAATTGATGGCTGAAATGCTTTTATGTAGTTTTCGTTTAAGCCTAAAGGTATTTGATGGTTTAATTCAGTATCCAGTTTTCATAGATTATATGTATTCACTTATGTGTTCTTAATGACTTCATCAACTCATAGTACAAGACAAATATTAAGAATGGTTAAAGGTTTGCAAACAGAGCTCCAACCAGGGTTTATAGGGGAGTAAAAGTCGTCATCAGACAAACCTTTCACCGTCCTCAAAAAAGAAAACTCAGTGTGAGGGCCCAAAGAAACTGACTTTGAGGTACGTATAAATAAAGCAAAGGTATCGATGGGGAGATCTGAAGTCTCACCTCTGTACCCTGCATGAGCCCCAGCTCAGAGGCTATCTTGGTCCACCTCAGTTGGGCTCTCTGACTTTGTCCTGGGGACATGAACATCCCATTCTGAAAGGGTTTATCACAGGCTACCTGTAAGACAGACCTGTGCAGATAAGTAACTTCTCCAAAGGTCCTCACTTACTCTTATCCTGCATGCTGCATGTGTGTGCCTGTGTGTGTGTGTGTGTGTGTGTGTGTGTGTGTGTGTGTGTTGTATACACTTCCCCCACTACCTCTTCTAACAAAGGAGGATGGCAGAAGGGCTCAGGTTTATTCCTCAAATCAACTCGGTGTGTTGAATCCTGTGACCACCACATTTCTCTTTTCTGTACTTGACAGGGGCAGTTCCAGGAGAGAACACACAAATTCATTCATCACACACACACACACACACACACACACACACACACACCTCTCTCTCCCTGACATGACAGGCACTCTAGTTTCTGAAATAGGAGATACCCAGGAATTTTGTCATATTCTTCAGACGCTCTCCAGAAAGTGCAAGAAGAGCCAGGGGGAGGTGGGTGGGTGTGCACGCCGCCTTGGTGTACTTCAGGCCTTAGAGATGAGGCAGCTCTTTTCTACGCCAGGGCCCCTGCCACCCAGGCCGGTGGAGCCCACCCTCAGACTGTGTTGACCCAGGAGGTTTGGGCACGCCAAACATTAGGTAGGCGAACTGCTGTGCTGGGTCTTTATTCTCTGACAAAGACTTATTTCATAAGTTCCAGATCAAATACAGTAAGTACTGCCTGATTACAGAACACAACGGAGTCTACCATATTAAATGCCCCAGTTATTGAATTGCCTTTTCATAAGAGTACTCTGGAGCACAATCAGGAGCAGGCAGTGCCTCATCCTTTTAACAGATATGTTTCCTAGCCCTATTAAAAGGGGTCTTCATCTATCCTGTCAAAGGGAGTCTGCTGGGGTTTTTTAGTTTAATTACACTATCCAATTAAAACTCCTTGCTGCATTTGGATGCGCCTCTCCTTGGGCCTGAGTGGATATGACATTTACAAGGCTCGCCTTTCAAGCAGACAATAGTGTGATTGATGAGGTGCACATTCAGTGAAGGAGCGAGTGCCTGTGGAAGTGCTGCTTAGTGCGTTTTGATTTATTTATCATCTTCTTCCAAAACAAGGGAGCTGCCGGGGAGAAGGGTAGAGGCAACCAGGGGACTACCTCAGTTTTTCCTGGACTGTGAGAGGGAGACTGAATTTCACCACAGGATAAAGGTGAAGAGGAAATATACGTCTAGTGCCAGCTTGCATCATCAAATACCAGCTCCATTCTTAGGTTCTGTGACCCAGTTTGGTTTCCACTAATCTCAAGCTGTGATCTGCTGTTAAATAGGTCATCACTGTGTTTGTAGAACACTTTGCGGGGGCCAGATAGCACTGGCCAGGCTCCTGAGAACTCCGCCAACCTAGCATGTGTCTCTGGACTGACCTGGTAGCAGTGCCTGACACCCGACTCCTGTGCATGTCCCAGCGGCACCCTCCAGAATGCCCACCACTTCTGTCCAAGGGCCACCTTCAGGGCTCATGACCCTTTCTAACCCTGGCTATTTAAAAGTGCTTCTGAGATTTGGAATTGGCCAAGGGCATGAATGGCTGCTCAGCACACAGCCATGGAGGCATAATGGAGAACTTCTCAAGGTTGTAGTGATGAGGCAGATCCCACATCTTGTTCCTAAATCACTATTGCTATTCTTCCTCAGCCTGTGATAGATGGGGCTGGAAGAGTGCTGTCTCTGTGGGGCCTGGCAAAGAAGTGTTTCCGTGCAGTGATCTCTGGAAGGCAGCCTGGAGGTGGGGCAGCAGGACTCCTCCAAGCCCCGAGCGGTGATAGCCATGCACCAGAGCTGCTCGCTGGGGCATGTTCACACACACGCAAGGCGTCCACGCTTGGGAGGGGAATGAACTGGTGTTGAGACATTCTCAGGGAATTTTCTTATATTCCTTGCAAAGTTTTCTTTGTTTTTTTCCATAAGATTTACCAAGAAGAAAGAATTTCTCTGTGTCAATTGGAATATTGATATTTGTTAGGGTAGGAAACATTTTGAGGATATCAACTCTTTTCCTCCTGGGAGAAACTACCTCCTCGCTGTTAAGTTTCCACTTAATTGTTGACTTGAGCTTTATGGACCCATAATAACAAAAAAATTATCTAGGCATATGAAAAATGTGCATACATTTGCATTTCCCTAGATTTTGATTGCCATTTCCTCGAATTTCTTCATTTTCAACATCAGAGGAAACCCTAATTGAGAAGAGGGTAAAACCAGGGTAAAAAGAGGGTAAAAATCCCTACTGAAAATCTCAGTGTGAGATTTCTCAGCCGGATAAATGATGGAGAAAATCTGTTTTCCCTTGCCTCCTGCCAAGCTCAGAATTGTATTTTCATAATAAATAAATGGGGTACTTAGATTTTAAGTTAATATCATAGACATGGAAAAAGGAAGCCATACTTTCATTAAAATAAAGATGTGTATTTCTTCTGAGACTTCCATATGCAACTTCCAGATTAGCTTTTCTATCATAAGTGACTAGAACACTGGACAAAATATTCTTCAAAACCAGTTTCAGACATTGGAACAGCACAAGGCTGTGATCCCTTAAAGAAGGAATGCGAAGGGCTGGGGATTTAGCTCAGTGGCATAGGTGCCTGCTTTGCAAGCACACGGTTGTGAGTTTGATCCTGCTACCAAAAAAAAAAAAGGGATGCGAATGTCTTGCGACCACAGTGTGGCTGTCGGCCAGGGCTTTCTGGGAAGGGAGAACCCAAGGTGAGTGGCACAGTCTCATGGAGAACTGGCAAAGAAGTGAGAGGCAGAGGGTGAGGGTGGGGTGGGAATCACAGCATGGCAGAGCCAGAAGAAGCTGCGCATGGTGGGGTACATGTTCAAGCCCAGCCTGGGTAGTTTAGCAAGACCCTGTCTGAAATTTTTTTTATTATTATTATTTTAAAAGGGCTCAGTGTAAAGGTCATCCTGGGCTCAGTCCCCATTAGCACCTACAACAGGAGCAACAGAAAACTGAGCAGAAAAGCAGGAAAAATGTGTCCCATAACCAGAAAGAAAAATTGATCAATAATAGTAAAGCCAAATGTGACCGGAATGATAGAATTTGCAGTCAGCAATGCTTTAAAATAGATACTAGATATGCTAAAAACTTGAAAGAACACAACTCAAAAGAAAAGTATGTAGAAACTATTAAGAACCAAATGAAAATTCTAGAACTAAGATATAATACATGAATCAAAACTCACTAATAGAAGCAAGTGAAAAGGACTAAGAAAAAAGATTAGCATGTAATTTATCTATTGCCCCATTAAAAACTTCCCCAGAATTTAGTGAGTTAAAGCAACAGTAGCATTTGTTACCTTATAGTGACTCTCAAGGACCCAGCACAGCTTCAGTTGGTTTCTGGCTCTGGGCTCATAAAGCTCTGGTCCACATGTCAGCAGGGGCACGGTTGTTTCAAAGTGAACTTGAGCTAGGATCTGCTTCCTGGCAGAGCTCAGTTCCTTGTCACGCAGGCCTCCATAGGGAAACTCATAACAGTTGACTTTATCAAATTAAGATAGAAGGGCTGAGGATTTAGCTCAGTGGCATAAGCGCCTGCCTGGCAAGCGCTGGATCATGAGTTCGATTGCCAGTACCCAAAAAAAGATAGAGTGCTAGCGTGGAATCAATCCTAGTCTTCTTAACCTGATCTCAGAAGTGACATCCCAGTACCTCTGTATGACTTACTCAATAGAAACAAGCTACAGGGTCCAGCTCCTGAACAAGACAAGGTTACATGAGAACATGAACCAGGAGCTGGGCTCATCAGGAGCCATATTAGAGTCTTTTCTGCAATCAGTAAATTGTATAATAAAAAAATCCAGGCTGAAACCCAAAAAGAAAAATGGATGAGAAGAACAGAGCTATAGAATAATATCAACTATTCTAACATACATGTAGTTGCAGTCTAAAGATTTGATTTAAAATATCAAGCCACCTCCAATCTTAGAATCCCAGTGAGGACTAAGCAGGATAGATATAAAGAAAACCTCATTGAGGTTTGTCATAATCAGATTGCTAAGAACCAATAATAAAGGAAAAAAAGTGCCAAAGAAAAGACATGCTGCATAGGGAAGCCAAGAAAGGAACGATTGCTGACTTCCCATCCAAAACAGTGGGGTCCAGAAGACAACAGTGTGGCGTCACTAGCTGCACTAAAAGAAAATTCATCAGCCAGGCATGATGGCGTGCTCGGGTAATCCTAGCACTTGGGGCTGAGGCTGGAGGATTATTACACGTTCGAGACCAGTCTGGGCCACAAAGTGAGCCCAAGGCTAATCTGAACTGCATAGTGAGACCCTGTCTCAAAAGGACCTCCCCCCCCCCCAGCCAAAAAAAAAGAAGAATGAAAACTCGTAAACCTAAAGTCTATATTCAGCAAAATGCCCTTCAACCCTAAGGGTGAAATATAGCCATTTTAGACAAGACACCACTAAACCTTCACTATAAGAACATTAAAGACAGGGGGAGAAAATACAGAAGGAAACCCAGATCTACACAAAGAAGCTCCAGGACTGTGGAGTGTAGCCGTGAGCCCAGAGAGGAAACAAACCGGAGAGACTTTTTTGAATGGGGATCATCGATCTGTGACCCACAGACCACTCCACCCTGTGTGCGAGTGCTCTGTGAGGTAAGGCTGTGCGCACTTGTAATCCTAGCCACTGACGCAGGAGGACCATGAGACTAGCCCAGACAACTTAACTTAGCGAGGCCTGTGTACCTTAAATATTTAAAAAGGAGCTGGGGGGCTGGGACCGTAACTCAATGATGGAGCACTCACCTGCTACATGCAGGGCCCTGGTGTCAGTCCCTAGTGTCAGCCCCAAAAAGAGGGGAAAAGCTGATTTTGTCTTATATGAGTATCCACAGTATCCTTGATTTTGCCTTTTGGCGCACAACACATAAAATAGTTTCCTTCTGGCCTTTTATAGGAAAAGTTTGGGTGAAGGTTGGGCAATGTTCAGGGTGGTTCTGTGTCACTAATTCTTCAGGGACCTCGCAATTAACCACAGGCACTGTGCAGCTCTGAAATTGCTGCTTGATCCTGGTAATTCTCCAGGAAGCAGATATTATTCCCAGTTTGTAATCGAGTAAACCGATACTCAAAAAAGTTACACAGCTTGTCCAAAGCAACCCACGAATGGTAACGTGTTCACCCTGTCCCGACACCCTGGCCCTCCGTGTCAGTGCTTCCTCAGGAAGGCTGTCCCTACCCCCACTCCGTCCGCGTGGGGTCTTCTCAGCACAGGTCCGCCATCTTGTCATCCGGCTTCTCTTTCTTAAGTTTGTTAAATGCAGCAAATTAGAAGATGGGAGGAAAAGAACTTAAAGTGAAGTGAAAGTTGAGAAGAGTTGACCAAAAATGAAACAAGCCTGGGGATTTAGCTCAGCGGCATAAGCGCCTGCCTTGCAAGCAGGCAGTCGTGATCCCTGGTACCGATTTTTTTAAAAAATGGCAAAGATGATACAAAAATGAAACAAAAACTACTATATGGGGCTGGGGATTTAGCTCAGCGGCATAAGTGCCTGCCTTGCAAGTGTGCGGTCTTGAGTTCAATCCTGGTACCGATAAAAAATGAAAAAGACAAAAAAAAAAAAAAAACCTACTATAAAGCACCCCAAGGATGCAGAAAGCACAACAGCGTGGAACACTGTAGAACATCGGAGCCCTTTGCAGCCAAGAAAAAACCATGATACTCAAGTCGTTTTACAGTTGAACACGGTAAAATAGTAATTTGTTTTCCTGGTATTCTTAATACAGGTGAGAAAGTATGTTATGTGGGATTTTGAAACTTTTTTTTTTTTTTTTTTTGTCTTTTTCATTTTTATCGGTACCGGGGATCGAACTCATGACTGCCTGCTTGCAAGGCAGGTGCTTATGCCGCTGAGCTAAATCCCCAGCCCGTTATGTGGGATTTTGATGCTTAAAATTTAAAAGGGCCGTTCTGGGTTGGTTTGGTCTGGTCAGGTGGTTTGGTCTGATTGTGCAGAGGTCACCCATACTTTCCGTGCCAGTACTTCTGGATGGCTAGAGTTTCATTTGGCAGTCACATAGCCTGTCATAGAAAAATACAAACTCAAGCTCGTCAGAAACTGAGGCTCCTCCAAAGAGAAAATTTTCAAATATAGAACTTGTTTCTTGCTTACTTAGCTTTCTAAAAGCTAAAGAAGATAACTGAACCAGTAGTTGGTTATTGAAACAACGGGTGGTATTTGCTGAAATAAGACGTGAATTGAATCATCGAGAGGCCCCCAAAAATCATTGTTCTTAATTTATTTCCTTCAGTCCATTGAGTATATCGAATACATATCTCAAGGAAGGTCATATTGAGTTGCAAGCTGAACTAGCCATTTATTTCATGAGACACCGTTTTTACTTGAGAGAGTAACTGTCAAACTGGTCATCCAAACTTGAGTCTTCAGCAGACATTTTCTTACATAGGAAGGAAGTGAACCTATCATTTTGGAGAAAACAAGTGGCAGTATTGACACCAGTGATGAAATTGAAGCTTTCAGGTGAAATTAGAATTTTGGAAAACACTGTCAGGTTGGCTTCCAGTTGCTTAAACACTTTTGTAATTGAGTAGTGAGACAAGTAGTGCTATGAATGAATGTTACTTTTTTAATATTGTATAATGAAATATTTCAGCATTTGAAAGAGCTACATAACTCAGTGAACCAGTATTTTCCAGACTAAAAATCAAGCAAGGGGGAAGATCCTTTGTGTTTTGGGGGGTTTTGTTTGTTTGTTGTGTTTTTTTAATACCAGGAATCAAACTCATGACCTCAGACTTACCAGGTAGGCACTGTGCAGCTGAGCTAAATTCCCAGCCCAGAAAATCCTTCAAACAGTGAGAGCAACCAGTAGGTTTTAATATAGCAGAATGTAAGAGACTCTGAGATTTAGACTTAATAGTGCAGCTACTGTTTAAGAAAATCACTATTCATGGAGTTTGGTGTTGTGTCAAAGAAGAATATTAAATATGTCTCCTGGGCTGGCAGTGACTCATGCTTGCCTAGCATGTGTGAGGCCCTGCACTCCAGCCCCAGCACTGCTGACATAAATAAAGAAGCCTCCTTTTTTGCAAAAGCATATCTCTGTGAGGCTGGCTTTTCTTCACATACTTCAGTTAACACAGTATATCAGCTAGGCGTGGTGGTGCATGCCTGTAATCCCAGCACTTAGGAGGCTGAGGCAGGAGGATCAGTGTGAGTTCAAGGCCAGCCTGGGCTACAAAATGCATTCAAGGCCAGCCTGAACTGCTCAACTGCTCAGTGAAACCATGTCTCAAAAAAAAAAAAAAAAAAAAAAACTATAGTATATCACAACAGGTCAAGTATAGAGGCAGGTAGATAATCCAGCTGTTTTCTTTTAAGCCAAATATCGAAATTTCTAATACACAGAAATAATTCCACTCTTGCTAAACTTTTTGTTTGGAAAGATAGAAGGGTTTTTCCATTTTAGAATGTTGTTTGTTATTTTATGTATTAGGGTTCTCTAGAAGAGCATCAATAGAAAATGCAGTGGTACCTCAGTTCACGAACTTAATTCTCCCCACGATTCTGATTGCAAACTGAATTGAATGAGAACCAAATCAAATTCAAAGGTTAGGTTCAGTGCTGACCTTATGGGGACATTTGGTTCTCATTCCATTCAGTATATGACCAGAACTGTCGAAAGAATCAAGTTCATGAACCGAGGTACTGCTGTATGTTTCCCAGCCAGGCTCAGGGGCCAGAGAGTCCCCTGTGGCCATCTGTGCACTGCAGAGCCAGCGGATGCAGTAGCCACTCAGCCTGAAAAGTGGAAGCTGCAAAGCGAGGACCAAGTCCAGGGGGAAAGCCCTGGTCGCTCACCAGAGAGTCCGGGTACAGCCTGCAGCAGGAGGCCGGGGACCTGGAGGCTGATGTCCGAAGACAGCAGCAGCAGCAGAGCACTGGCCTGCTCAGCGGGACAGGATGCTTCCTCTGCCTGTCTCCTTCCATCCGGGCTGGGCTGCCCGCCTCGGTTTGCTGGCTCTGGCTGAAGTGTCAGCAGCCCACAGACACACCCAGCCTGTGCTCTACTAATCATTGAGCTTTTCATTTTTGGTTTTTGTTGTTTTGTTTGTGTATTTGTTCTGAGACAGGATCTTACTAGTTCAAACTGCTCTTGAGTTTATTATGTAGCCCTGGCTGGCCTCACTCCTACCTCAGCCTCCTAAATGCTAGGATTATAGGCATTCACCACCACGCCCAGCTATTAAGGCATTTTTTAATTCATTCCAAGTTAGTGTATCATCATCAACTTATAATGGCACTTTTTAATGAATTAACCTTTTTCAGTTTCTCAGTTTCATTTTCTAACACAGTGACTTTTGATGGGTATAATCAACATAAGAAAAAGCATTTAAAGGGTTTCTGAAACCAGAAACTAGGAAAAACTGCCAATATGAGGTCTTGAAAATGGTCTTAAGATGCTTGGATTTTATTCTAAGAATGACAGTAAAAGTAGCAGTGCAGAGTTTTAAGTATGCACGTGACATGGCCCAGCGTGTCTGTAGAAAGTGGCTCTCGGGGTAGATGCATAGATCTGCCGAAGCTGCCATCAGAGGTAGAGAACTGAGAGGGTACAGCGGCTGGCCAGAGCCTGCTGGGGCTGCCGACGCAGTGTAGGAAGAGCTGTAGGCTGAACACGAGGAACTACTCAGGACTGCATGCTTGGAGCGTGACTTGCTGGGTGGCGAGGCCTCCGGCTGCAGACCGAACCCGTGCTGTGGGAGACTGCGGCGGCAGTGCCCGGCAGAGCCTGGGAGGGCGCTCCCAGCACCACAGGCAGGTCCATCTGGCCTCGTCTGTTAGAAGTAGTGAGTAAACTCCCAAGGGAAGAAAGCAGAGGTAGATGAAGACCAAGGATGCAAGCTGGGGAAGACAGTCACTCATGAGCAGGACGGGGGTCCAGAAAGTCATGGGGAGCAGATCGGCCAGAGATGCGGACCTAAGAACCCTGTGGCTGTGGCTCCATGGAAACTCAGGAAGGAGAATCTGAAGTGGCTGAGAAGCCTTCGTAGAGCTTCAACATCGAGGGCATATGACCTTAGCAGGAGTGTTTCCAATAGGGAAATCACATTGCCATGGGAGATTTTATAATTAGAGACTTAATTATGTTTATAGGAAAGAGCCAGAGTGAGGAGAGTTTGAAAGATGCAGGCAAAAGTGTAAGTAGGTCAGATGCCGCCCTGCTCTAAAGGTCGAAGAGGTTACACAGTGCCCAGGTGTGAACGCTCCCGTGGCCCTGGAGCCTTGGATCACACTGAACCGAAGCTCTCAGCTGGCAACTCAGAGCTGCTGCTGACAGTGGGAGACCCAGCCCGAGACCAGACTGCAGCCTCGCCCAGCCTGGGGGCCTTGGACAAAGGATAGCCTTGCCCAAAACAGAGTATGTGCTCAGCTATTTTCCCCAAGAAGCCCGTTGAGAGTTCTCTGCTCTGTGCCAGAGCGGATGGACTAGAAGCCATGCAGGTCTTTAAAAATATCCATGCCTAGCTGTATACAGTAGCTCATGCCTATAATCCCATCTGTTCAGGAGGCTGAGGCAGAAGGACCAAGCTTAAAGAAAAGCATTAGAAAAAGCCTCAAAACTGTTCTTCTTCATAATGCTGTCAGTTGTATAGTAACCCAGATGCCCACCAGAGCTGGTGTAAAGCGTACTACATGTCTACTTGTTGGACTAAAAATCACCCACTGAAAGAGATGGTTATGGAGACTGTATTCCATCAGAGGGAGGGCTATGAGAAAATGTTATTTAGAAAACAAACTTGAGTTTTAATAAACAGCCTGATTATAACAGTGTGAAAATGTGAGTGTGACCAGAAAGCAGCCACAGATGTATCGTGCCAGGGTGCTGGGATTCTGCAGTGGGATGTGGTGGTTTTTCCTTTGTCGTCTGAATTGCTAGTAATTTGTAACATTATTTTATAAATTTTTAATTGAAAAGAGAAAATATATTCCCTACTGGTTGTCTTGGCAAGTGGTGCCACTGAGGGCCTTGAACAAAGACCAGCCATACCTTGGATTTGGAAGCCCCAGCCGAGGCCAGTGGAGTGGCTGTGTGCCTCGAAGCGAGAGTGGCTGCTTCAGGAGGCCATGCCCACCCCGCACTGGCCCAAGAAACCTGTTTGCTCAGCACAGTCTCTTGCTAAAGCTAAAATGTAGAATGCAGAAGATAAATTACAGCACAGAAGCTCAAACGTCTCTACTTCTGACATTTGTGCTGCTAATTAGTTTCTGCTCGGTGTTACGTCCCATCTCCTCTGGTTTACTCTGAAAAAAGACACATACATGTAAATACATTTTTACACAGCCTGATTTCCACTGCAGCATTTGGAAGCAGATGTGCAGTTTGTCTTCCCCGCGTGCCTCACAGTGCTCAGCCACCACTTAGGCCATTATATCTCACTTCATCCCTACAGCATTATAAAAGCAAGTCTGTTGAGAGAAGGCCCAATTAAAAACAGAGTCATCAAAACAGGAGCACTTCATCTTCCAGTAGCAGTTCCGTCATGGCGGTAGGAGTTACCACCACTCACGGAGTCCGTGCCACACACATGGACAGGGTATGTGTGCACACACACAGGAGGTGGCTAGCGGAGACTGCCTCCTCACAGCTGGCAGCCTGGGCTCCAGGGGGGCCAGGCCTTGCCCAAGCCTGGGCCCGTGCTTACCCCTCTGCTCTGCAAGCTACTCTCCTAATTTCCAAATACAATTCAGCAATCCAGGGAAGGTGATCTGAACTAACCTGAGTGTTTATAACTTCTCAAACCCTTTTCCCATAAAGCTGCTGGTGTTCTCTGAATTTTCAGGGTAACCACCGCCTGCCACCCTTGTATGCCCCAGGACAGCTGCCCTGGGGGGCTGTGCCGGGTCCTTGGCCCCTCTTCACCCCTCCAGGAAGCCTCAAGGTGGTAACAGGCAGGGAGTACTCTGTTCATTCAATGTTCAGATGTCATGGTTTCTTCTTCCCAGACGCTCCTGGTAAAAATTTACCATGTGGCATAAATTGTTCATGTTTACTGGCAGATTTATTTCCAGCACGAGGTCAATTAACTTGTAACACATGAATATATAGGTTCAGACT